TTAAATATACAATACATATTATTAAATTATAAATAAATTATTAGAAATTATTATATATTAATATTTATATATAATATTAATTAATTCCACAATATATATAATTATATATATTTTTTAAATTATTAAAATTTAAAATATTAATAAATTAAAAATAATATATTTATTATATTACCATTATTTTAAGGATGGGGGACGTACCCAAAATGTAAGCTACCTTTTTTAAGGTGTTTTTGAGGGGGCCTTGAACATATAAATTTACATTTTGAAGGTATTTTGAAACCCCTCCCCTTAAAAATAACACCTGGGGGATGTTCAGCAACCAATTTTATATTTAAGGGTAGGTCCCCAAAAAATGTAGCTTACATTTTGGTATGGTCCCCCCTCTGAAAAGTGGCCTTAAAGGGATGACGATTTTATTATTAAATATTTAAATAATATATATATATATATATTTTGTTCGCTGCTAGATTTTCTGTTGCCAGCCTGTCCGGGGGACACCTCCACCCCAAAAAACACACGAAATCAATTTTCCTACCTCATAGCTACCAGCACGGATTTTGATCAGTGAAACAAAATCATCGAGGAAAAACATGTATCTAATATATATATAGAACTCCAATCTGCTTTGTATCACGAGCATCATCTCCCCGGAAAATGAAGGAGTTCCGACAACCAGAATATCAGACTATTTAAATGTGACTCTTCCTGGGGTTGGAAAAAGTGATGAGTACTCGCCTCCAGCTCTGCTCCAATCGGCGTTGTGTGTCCTTCACAGTTTCGAATCCAATGGTATTTAGTGGCTTTCAGTGGTTAATTTGTCATTTGGCCATGTCTCAATATGTCTCATTACTCCGAAGCTCAGACCCTGCCGGTCCCTGAAAAACGCTCCTCACTGGCGCTGTTTGTGTCCATCAAAGCACGAGCAGCTTCGGCCAGCTGCTGCAGCTGAGGCCTCTGGCGGTGGATAGGCAGATAACGGCGGATACTGCCAGAATTTTTGTATCGCGGGCTTCTCTGATGGTTGCACATGGGCATCAGACCCATCATTGGCAGCTTCTGCAAGTTTAAAGGTCTCACCTCAGAATCGACAGGAAAGGGACGTGACGGAACCCTTGGTGAAGTGGTGAATATTCTCACTTGGGACGCCACCATCGTTTGCTATCAGCCTTGGGCAAGTGATTGGAGCAGGAGACATGACCCCTCGGCTTTCATTGAATTAGAGCATCTCCCACTCCCTGCCACAAGATCGAGACGGACAGGATCAAAACAGTATGTAAGCGAAACCTGGTGAACACGACTTCAAACAATAGTGGTTGCGCACTGTCACTTGACTTGGAATGTTTCTGTGTCTTCTCTTCCAGAGCCCAGATGAACCCTGGAAGCAACATTCCTCGAGCGCCACCGGCCCGAGCCTTTAGGTATTGAACCCCGGATTGCGGAACCAGCAAATCGCTGGATATAACCCAATAATGCGGCACCAATATTGCAAATAAGAGCATTCAACTTATTTACTATAACTATATATCTCCTAGACTATGATCTCGTGAATTTCTTATTTAATCTTATTTAATCTTATTTACATTTATTTGCTGTATCTATAACTTCTTTTAGCACCTGCTTCTTCCCAAACTGGGCATCCCCTACACCTCTGCCAGGCAGTCCACCGCGCGTTGGCTCCGAAGACCTGCCTGGGGCGGTTTTCGCCGACTGGCGCCGAAGTTGTAGACGGGACAACACATATTGAACACCATTAAGCACTATGAAACAATGAAAATCAATGATACCACCTAAAAACCAGTAAAGGCCAAGGTCAAACACAAGCAACACGGCAAATCATGATGATATCGTGCAGCATGTTTAAAAGAGCTACCTTGTTTCCTCAGTATTCCAATGTAATCCAGAACCCATATAAATAATTTGGATATGTTTCGAGATAAGGCCATAGTTGGACTCTTTTCCATTCAAGAATGTAGGCTAAATCCTGCCAGGACCTGCAGGAAGGCACGTCCCATTATTGCAACCTCAGAGGTGAGGATAGGTGAGGTATGCCGTCAGGCGCCACTCGCTTCTTGAATCTTCTTGGTGTTTCAAAAAAAATGTCGCTATACTTGAATAATAGTTGGTGCTACTGTAATTTCCCCACGTTCGTGCCTATTGTCCACAACTCACAGCACTGCATCCAAACTTGCTGCTACATAATTCTCACTTAGCTTTGCACATGATGAGGGGAAACGCTTTGCTCATCATGTCGCAGCAGGACAACAAAACGTCTGGTGAGAGCCTGCAGGCTGTGGCAAAACGCCCGCCAGGGACCAGCCAATGGCTTAGATTTGGAATGCTACCGTAGATGGACGATCCGGCAAAAAAAACAAACCCTAACGCAGAGGAAGCTATATAGAGCTTTGTGCAACATTGAAATTTGGGGCCTGGGGGTTTACTTGGTAGGCGTCTGTAGGATTTGATCTTCTTGTCCATCTACTGTCTCATGTTTATATGTATATGTCCTAGAAAGGTCTTTCTGCTGTTCTCGCCGATGCATCGGTTTCCAACACAGCAAGGAACCATGACCGCAAAGAACCATGACTGCAAAGCACAATGACTGCAAAAACAATGACTGCAAAGAACAATGACTGCAAAGAAAAATGGCCGCAAAGAAGGAATGACCGCAAAGAAAGATGACTGAAAGAAAAGCAAAACCGTCGTCACTGCAAAGAGCGGTTTTGGAAGGATGTCTCGCACGAAAGCTTCGCTTTCACATCTTCAACTTGCAGGTTTTGAAGGAAATCTCGCACAAGCTTCCATTGCACAACTTCAACTTGCAGATTTTGAAGGACTCTCGCACGAAAGCTTCGTTTTCACATCTTCAAGGAAGCCCGCGCGTTCACATCTTCAACTTGCAGATTTTGAAGGACGCTCGCACGAAAGTTTTCTGTGCACAACTTCAACGTGCAGGTTTTGAAGGAAGTCTCGCATGAAAACTTCGTTTTCATCAGCTTGCAGCTAGATCACGGGGAAAAAAATCTGCCGCACCACAGACCCGAGCCTTGCCAGCCAATAGTGGCACAAAGCCCTGTGTTTTCATATTACCTAGGACCTAGTTCCAAACTCTATTTCCTTTTCTATTACTCTATTACCTGTTCCTATTACCTAATTCCGGTTACCTGTGTTTTTACAGTCAAAGCGGGTCTGCTCAGTCCATGACTTCAAAAGAAAACAAGCTTCTGTGGTATCCCCAACAGCTGCAACGTTTTATTTGTATTATATAAACCTTTCTGAAGCGTGCTGCGAAGCCAAGCGCTGGAAACCCTGTTGAACATGTTGGAGCCTGACCTGGCCCTGCAACAAAGATTCCCAAAACTAAACCTTCTCCGGGACATTCTCTGCACCAGCTCTGCACCAAAGCCTCCCGGAACCTTCTCCGGGACCTTCTCTGCACCAAAGCCTCCCACACCTTCTCCGGAACCTTCTCCGAAACCCTGTTGGACCTGACCTGGCTCTGCACCAAAGCCTCCCAAGCCTTCTTCGGAACCTGACCGGGCTTAACCTTCGGAACCTCTTCCGGAACCTGTTGAAGCTGACCTGGCTCTGCACCAAAGCCTCCCAAACCTTCTCCGGGAACCTTCTCCGGAACTCTGTTGAACCTGACCTGGCTGCACCAAAGCCTCCCAGCCCTTCTCCGGAACCTTCGGAACCTTCTCCGGAACTCTGTTGAACCTGACCTGGCTCTGCACCAAAGCCTCCCAGACCTTCGGGAACTTTCTTCGGAACCCTGTTGAACCTGACCTGGCTCTGCACCAAAGCCTCCCAGACGAGCCTTCGGAACCTTCTCCGGAACCTCGTTGAACCTGACCCGGGCTGAAGACCCCATTAGCTGACGCTGTTGGGGAAAAAGAAATGATAATCTGTTCTTCTCTTGCAAACGCCTGAGCGCCGTTTACCTCAGAAAACACAGGTAATCGGACTTAGGTGATAGGAATAGGGAATAGAACAGGAAATATAATTTGGAATTAGGTAATATGAAAACACAGGGGTTTGCGCACTAAAGAGCCCAAATCTTCCCTCGCGGCTGCTTGTATGTGTGCAAGGCTGCACCCCCGTCCCCGGACCGTAGATGGACGATGAAATCAAACCCCTGCTGTATTGTTGGCGCCCCTGCATCCCCAAATTTTAATGTTGCCTTTGGGCCGCGCGGCCGGTGGGCCAAAAAAAAACCTAACGCAAGGGAAGCTATATAGAGCTTTGTGCAACAATGAAATTTGGGGCCTGGGGGTTTACTTGGGTTTGATCTTTTTGTCCATCTACTGTATGGCACAAAAAACCGACGGGGCACAACTTTTTGTCGTTGCTGTATCGACTTGTGCAACCAAATAGCTTGGCAAGGGCTAGTATTTGTCCAGTGATGTCCACTGTAAATGTCCGAAAGATCTTCAAAGAATACCCGGGTTCTGGGAGTATTGGCACCGCCTCCAACAGGTTCTGGGCAGATTTCTTTTGTCTCGCGGCTTGCCCGGCTGCAAAAGCACCGTGCACAACACCTGCACTGCATCAGTGGAGCAATGGCTGGCTCAACCTTATTACCTGGTATATTATATATACATATCATATCAGATATGCCCGCAGTAGTTGCTTGTTCAGGTGGCTTTATCTTGTGTCTCTGGAATTTCATGTTGGGTGCGAAGCCGGGTGTGGATTGAGCTGCAATGATGATCAGGCCTATCACGTTCAGTTCGGACACGCCCATAACGACACGTTCGGCCTTAGTCAAACAAAACGCAAGCTTCTACACATTTCTACAGCATATTGCCCTTGTCATGATTCATGTCTAAAAAACTACAGTATTGAAAACTACTCTTTACTACTCTGCTGTCTGGTTGTGCATCTATCCCTCGTAGATTCTTAGGCTTGCTGTTAAGTTTCAAGGAATAGTCAGAGGGGTCAAAGATGGTCAAAGCCATCCTGATCTTCAAGCTATATCTCGAGGACGGGATGGAGAAAACTGGAGAACAACCAATTCAATCAAGGTGTCAAGAACAGCCACAAATATCACAAATCTCCGTCGGTCCTGCGTGCAGTCATTCACCAATATTTGAGTTAGGAGCCAAGGCGTCCAAGAACTTTGGCGGCTCTGGGGCTGAAACACCTTGGCATTTAACCTCATTCAACTGCCTAATGCTAAGTGATGCCTATATATGTTGTTGCCGCGTTTGGCAGTGAAAGCTGAGGAAAAAACATCATGACCTCACAATTTCGTGTGACCCTGCCCTTCAAGACTCTCCAGTCATCGATGAACTTCAATTCCAGGTGTCAGAAATTCTAGCGGGCGATCCATCCAAACTCACTAAGTCTTGTACGCGCAAAAGCATGAAGCAAGTTAGCGGCGTGTCTCGGAGTGATGTCCTGGACACATCTGGTCACAACTTTTTTTGGGGAGGTGGGAGCTATATAACCTCCAGCAGCTGTGCCTCCACTTGCCGCAATGTCTGCGCAGCAATATGCCTTGAGCATTTCTCCCATTAGCCATCACGAAGATCACGAAGCACAGTTTCTTGCCAAAAAATGCCAAAAAGAGTGATACATGTGATGAAGTCATTCCGTCATGTCACCACAAGCCACTACCAAACAAAACGTCTAAAATCAAGAAAAATCAACGGTCTGGTGCATGAACTCTATCTAGATCTAGTCACCCAGTCCATTTGCCCTGCCTGTAAAGCGTGGCATCATAGGCCCGGAGCTTGGAATAAGCCGATGCCTACTTCGAGTGTCAAATGAAGAGTTGATGTGTTCGATTTTATATGTACCCCAGACCAGTTGCGCATTGGAACCCCCTCGTTGTTGTTTTTGTTTCCCTGTTTAGAACTTGTTTCAGTGACAAAATCACAAAAGGCAACAGGGATGCATCAGCATAATATACCAACATATACCAACTCATCATCGCCATTATACCTAATCCATCCTAATCCCATTCTTCTAACAAGGGTCACCAAACTCCAGCTTAAAACAGAAACGGCACTAAATCATGATTCAGCTATCCTCGGAGTGTTTTTACTAACTGCAACCGAGCATCCAGTACTGCAAGCTCCTGCGAGGTCGCGTCCGGCAACTTCCACAGAAGCTCCTCAAAGAATTGTCTTTCAACATTTTACTAATTAGAATGCGGATGGATACGGTACGTCATACCGCCTACAGTACATGCTGACAGCCTAATCCCCAATCTAGCCAAACACATCCAGCCAACAGTAGTCAAAAGTGGAATCTGCGCTGCCAATTCGAGCTTGAAGGACACACCCCAGTAGGCCATGACTTGGGCTGAGAAATGTGTTCTATATTCATACTTTCAAACAACAGCCCCACCAGTTGGGAAATTGGTCATCAAAATCTCGCGAAAGCGCCGAGCAATTTAGAGCCTTTGAAAGTGAGTGCCAAGATGTGCCAAGCCCAAGGAATCCAGTGGAAATGCTTTGTTGGGACATGTTGGGACTCTTGGTTTGCTGTCAAGACTTACGACTCTTTGGAATGAAGGCAAATCTGGTTAAAATTCAAGCAGCACTCCATCTGCCGGGCCACAGGTCGTGGCCTAAACCCTGGCCCCTATCTGTCCCTCGCCAAATGCGAAACCTAGACCAGTCAACAAGATTCAACAAGTCCACTGACAAACACGCCTCAGCACAGTCTTGGAAAAGCTGCGGCGCTGGGTGTGTCATTGAAGCATAGCTATTGCAAAGCAACGCCAAATCCTCCGCACCGTCGAGGTGAGATGAAGTGTATGGAGCGGCCGTCGGAAATTAATGGTCGGTACATAACACTCCAAGTATACTCAAGTACTTGCACATCGCAAAAGCAAAGGTTCACAAGGTTCAAAAGCATGGCAACATGAAACCTGGTTATGTGTCCAGCCCTTGTGCCCGCAAGGATGCAGTGCGCTGAGCAAAGCAAGGTTATACAAGGCTCAGGAGAACAACTGCATGAGCCATCGCAAACGCTGCTTCTGACTTCATTCTGTTGTTTGCATTGGTAGCAGGTCACAATGAGTCAATAATATGCACCCACTAACTCACGGTAGCAGGGGCTCCTGTATGTTGAAAACAGTAAGCCAGGCTGGATTTAAGCGACTGGCCACATAATCCATGAGCTGAGCCTCAGCAATAATTCAGCATCAACCACGGATGTGTGATTTATATCCAAATAGCTTACCATTGCTCACAGGTACATTGTTCCTTGTGATGCAAGGACAATCGGACATGCTCCCGTGAGCTCAAGGCATCCTTCACTTGCTTTCGCGCCAGGCTTGACAATACCAAGCTGATATTCCTGCAGCGTGAGCCCATCTGGGGTCATCTGCAAAGATCTTTCAAGTGAACACCTCAAACCTAACGAGTAATATTTTATGAATTATAATTAATTACTGCCCACACACAGTGACAGACACACACACACACACGCACAAACCATTAAAAAACATTAAATAAATATATATATAATATTATATAATTAATAGTTACAATGTGCTACAGTACCCGATCAATGGCCAAGTCTGAGTACTGCCCAGGACCCTGACAGCTTTGAGCAGTGCGTTCTTGGTCACACTACGAGAGCAAACACGTCATACTCGTGAGATGCATGAAATGAAATGCGATGCTTCGCAGCAAACAAGACTAGATACATCCTGGATCATCCTAGTAGAGAATCACTGGTAGAATCACGAAAGCATGACTTCACTGATTAGCGAAAGACAAAACATGCGTGGCACATCTAGCCCACAGCATCAATCAGCATCACCCCTTCGCAGTCGCCCTGCACGCCTGGGCGATTGATACTTGAGGTGGTAGTAGAGCTCTGCACATATCTCCGCCCAAAATTTAGGATCTCCTTCCAAGAAAGAGGTTTGCAAGGCATGGCAAAGCAATGTCGCACTGGCATGAAATTTTCAGAATTGCAAATATTAAAGAAAAAAGGAAGAATCGAAATCTAAGTGTGCCACACCGGTCCCAGTGATGGCGTCAAAATGACATTTGTTCCCAGTTCATGGCACTGCGTTTTTCCAGTCTGAGCCAAGTGGAAACTTTCCAAAACACTCGAGTCAAACTTGACAAGAGGGACTTACCTCTGTGAGCCTGCGGGTCAACTTATGACTTCAAACAACTGGCGGACATCTGCTCGGGCGTTTTTGGTCGGCGATGCGCGGTCTAAAAATAAAGGTTAGCTGCCATGAGCCATCTCTTTGACATGCTCACCTCAGCGGGGAATCCACGGCACCCCGGGATGCCATCCAAAGTGGGATGGGGTAAGGTGGGGTCGGAAGACGCAAAAGAAACCATTGGTTCTACATGGTTCTACCATGTTCTATCCTTGGGGGTCCTTAAGCAACCTCTATTTTCGGGGGGGTCCTAAGCTTCCAGTCACAGTATATATATATATATCAAAAAACAGGAAGGACGAAAACAAAACATGTTTTTTGGCGCAAGGGATGTAGGCCTTGAAGATCAACGTGTTCCATCTCCCTGAGACTGATACACCTCCATTGCGGAGCTAGTAAGTTGGTAGTTATATGATGTATAATTGTATAATGCAATGCCAAAATTTTGGTTCAGGGGTGGGGTCATGTGGAGTCACTTCGCAGAAGAACCAAAGGGACAAAATCTTCGACCTCAGCCAACAGTCATCAGTAAGACAGAACATGTACAGTAGTTCACAGCAGGTCACAGGAGACTTCACCATCGACGGCGCTGATCCTCTGCATCTCCTCATTCGAGGACTGCAGATTTGGTGGTCGACAATCGGCGTGACCGAGCCACTTCACGGTGTAAAAGCCGAAGATCTTCCTTGGTTGAATGGATGATGTCTTGGATTGTCTTGGTACTTTGAGGTCACTATGCCAAAATATGCCAAAATGGGACGTGACAAGGAGAATCTGAGACAACCAAGGACGAAGGATGGCCTGATGAATCTGCCAAGCCAAAGTAACATCCAAGAGGTGCCCAGGGTGCCCCCCCAGCTTTGCATATTTTCTCCGGCCAACTTCCCCCACACTATATACAGGGTCAAAGATTTGAGAGATGACTCCAAACATTTGCTGAGGCTGAGTTCTTTGATGGATACCCTTGTATGTGCATTCAAATATACCGGAATGAAATCAAGAATCTTACAGTCTTATTCTATCCTATTATGGAGTACATCCATGCAGATCTCCCCGTTTCCATCCATTTCTGCTCAAACAACAGGTGCTCCAAATCCATGATGAGCTTCTGAGATCCGTTGTGCTCCTTAGCGGGAAAGGTGCAGTAAAGATGCACATGCTGCAGGACTACCAATCTACGAGTACCAAAGACACATCACTCGGACATACATACTCTGACCTCCATAACACCTTTGCCAACAACCAGCACCCCAGCACTTGACAAGTGAGATCACCCCAAACATCAACTATCATCAACTGATATCAACTGTATACGCCCAGGGTCCTGTCTTTTGCCCTAAAGGTCTTTGAAGTCCACCAAATGGCCGTTTCAACAACAGCAAGTCAGTTGCTGCTCTGGCGGAGCAGGCAGCCTTCTGTTGGCCAAAGGAATCCAAAGAAAAATTGGGGATTGTGACGGAAACGTAAGGGCATCAAAAAATATGAAACAAGTGGTCAAGATGGCAGAACTCGCGTAAGGCGAGAATATCGGACAAATCACATTGCGCATGTCAGATTCAAAAACTGGTCATACCAGAAACAATAATTTTAAGTCTTACTTAGGCAACAAGTAGCAGGTTCTGAAGCATAGCCGCCCGTCGCAATGATAGCCATTTCATGCATCTGCGGGCCAGCCGGCAAATCTTCACAGCCGCTATCCTCCAGGCATCGACACGGCTCATGTCGGAACCCCCTTGTCACAAATGTAAGGAAGATTTGCATCTGAGGAACAAGTTTTGCACGCCCTTCTAGCTAGAAGGCGGGTTGCATGTTTGTCTGAGCTGTTGGTATAGCAGAAACCGCTTGTATAATGCTGCAAAGCGGCCAATTCTATTCACAGTCAAGACATACCACAACAGACAATCAGGGGTTTCACCATGCCAAAACAATAAACAATATCATGCAATTAAGGATCTTGCAATGTTTCCCACGTAACAATTAGTATATATATATATGGTCCAGCGTCG